TTTTCCTCCTGCACTCAACTCTTATAAGAGAAATGAGCCATTATCAGAAGTTTCTTCCAGAAATAACTTCCAGGGAAGCCCTGAGGTCAGTTTGGATTCAGTCCAGTCTTCTCACTTTCTGCATGATGGTACAATGATAATTCAAGTTCTTCGTGATGACTCTGAATAATCCTGATCCTGAATCATCAATGATTAAATTATGTTCACCAAACAGCTAGTATTTTCTAAAGCAAGAAAATAGACTAATGCATTTGCAAAAAAATTATGGAAGAATTCAAACCAAAACAAGCCACAGGCTTAGCATGGGATGACCAGAGCATTAAATTTACAAAGACACCACTTCCCCCTAAATGTCCACCTTAATGGCTATTTTAGAAAATTCCAGCATAACTCAAGGCCTGTTTAATTTATTTGCTTACACAAATAATTTTATGGAAGGCAACATTGTAATTCAAATCCATAAAAGATTCGGTTTTGGCTATAAAAGGATAAACAGAATGCTTACAAAAAATTGCTCACTGTTCTTTCTTGCTATAAACCATTTGATTTTTAGCCAAAAGACTTACAGCCAAACAAGCACCACTGTTTGCCTTTGGTAACATTCAATGTAGACTGTTACACAAGGAATTAAGCATTAGTCATCAAATTAATTAAAAAACAACAAAACAGAGTTTGTAAGTTGCCAACCATCTCAACACTCAAAGGCGAATTTGACCCCAGACTATACGTGGTCTTTCCCTGCTTAGAAAAGTGGTCCCAGAATTCCTTGGACTCTCGGCAGCAAGTTCTGCTGTGAGATCTGTGCAGTGCCCTCTCCAGCCCCCACCCATCTTAGGGCAAGCAATTTTCTTCAGAACCAGGTTGGAGCCCAGAGGCCTCAGCCCAGACCATGGACAATTATTATCAACCAGAAAAGTGAATCAGGGTGAAAAGCTTGTGAACCGTGCAATCAGGCAGCAAACCCAGAGGTGCAGAAATTCCAATTTTTCTTTTCTCTAATGGAATTTAACTTCTATCTGCCAGCCAATTGCCCTCAGTCAAGGCAGAAATTTGACCTTCGTTAACTCAGGCGTTGCCGCCACCCTCCTGTCTCCAGCATTGTCCTTGAGCATCAAAGGACCAGCACAGCATTAGGAGAGGGTGCAGGGTTTCTGGTGTTTGTGTCTCATCGTCTGTACCCCTAGATTCCACTCCTGCACCCCCATTCCCGCTGGCCTTGGTTGTCAGTCCATACGGATCCCGCCTGAACCCTGGATCCTCAGTGTCCTGACCCCTGAAATTTCTAGGCCAGCTGGTTCTCTCTGTCACATTCTCACCACCCTCAGCCTCCCACAGAATATTCCTGCTGTCCGCCGCTCCACACTGATGGTCAGAGGAACACAGAGTGGGGCCACCCCAAGTTTCTGAGCTAAGACACCCCCGAGAGCCACTGCTGATCTGCAGCAACATACCCCTGTTATAAAATGAGTCCCAGACCGCTCCGAGGTTGGACATTCCAACATACTTCCATCCCACTCCAGAACATAGCTCAGAAGAAAGAGGTAGCACTTCGCAACCCTTCGGGGGGGTCCCACAATGGCTACTTGTTGAATTTTCCATTCAACTTGCCTTAGACCAGGAGATTTTTCTCCCTTCTATGGAGAAACAAACCAGGCTTAACAAATAGTCTTCCAAATCTATTGCTTAGGTTTCAACCTCAGCTTTGAAACCCAAAAGAAAAAGTATTAACTTGGATTTCTCTCCCTAGTCCATCCCCCAAATCTACCTAAGAATGCTCTTGTCCCAAAAATTCGGAGAAGGTTAAGGGTAACTGAACATAGTTACTATTTCAAAATAGTATCCCTCAAAAGAACTGAAATCCAAACAGTTCAAAAAAGTAAAAACAAAAGAAAACAAAACAAAAAACATGCCAAATCTGAGTGGGTCTCCCAGAGACAAGAAGTATAGACCAGATTGAGAATTAAACTTTTTTAAAAGGTAAATGAGAGTAGTTTGGGATCTAAGGGAAGAAGGAGGAGCAGATCATATAGAGCCAATAATTACGGCCAGAGGAGACAGAAGGATGTCCTCTCTGACAACCAGGTATTAAAGGAAGACCTAGATTCTAGAATAAAGGATAAGCTTGTTCAACACCGAAGATACAAGGATTGGTCCAAATTTTGAATGGAGTAGGGGAAAGTGGAAAATGAGGAATTGGTTTTCGATGGGTATGAAGTTTCTGTTATGCTAATGAGTAAGTTCTAGAGCTGTGTTCTGCAACACAGCCAACAATACGGTATTATACACTTTAAATGGTGATAAAAGGATTCCTCTCATGTCAAAAGTTCTCACCAAGGCAAAATCAAAAATAACAGACACAAAATAACACAAGGAAATGTGGGGAGGTGATGAACATGTTTTAGCACCTTGGTTGTAGTGATGTGATCATAGGAGTATGCATATGCCCAAGCTCATTACATTGTGAAGTATATCAGTTATACCTCAATAAGGTCCAAAATTCTTAAATAAATACACAGAAATAAATTCAATATAGATGAAAGACCTAAAAGTGAGACAGGAATCCATCAAAATCCTAGAAGCAACAACCTTTTTGTCATCAGCTGTAGCAACTTATTCCTAGATGTGTCTCCTGAGGCAAGGGAAGCAAAAGCAAAAGTAGACTATTGCGACTTCATCAAGATATAAAAAGCTTCTGTACAGTGAAGGAAACAACAAAACTAAAAGGCAACCTTCAGAATGGGAGAAGATATTTGCAAATGACATATCTGATAAAGGGTTAGTATCCAAAATCTATAAAGAACTTCTAAGACTCAACACCCCAAAGATGAATAATCCAATTAAAAAATGGGCAGAAGATGTGACTAGACATTTTTCCAAAGAAGACATAGAGATGGCTCACAGACACATGAAAAGATGCTCAATATAACTCATCATCAGGGAAATACAAATCAAAACTACAGTAAGATATCACCTCACTTTGGTCAGAATGGCTAAAATTAACAACTCAGGAAACAACAGATGTTGCAAGGATGCAGAGAAGGGGGAACCCTCTTACACTGTTGGTGGGAATGCAAACTGGTGCAGCCAATCTGGAAGATAGTATGGAGGTATCTCAAAAAGTTAAGCATAGAACCACCCTACAACCCCACAATTGCACTACTAGGTATTTACCCAAAGGATACAAAAATACTAATTCAAAGAGATACATGCACTCTGATGTTTATAGCAGCATTATCAACAGTAGCCAAATTATGAAAAGAGCCCAAATGTCCATGGACAGATGAATGGATAAGGAAGATGTAGTATATATATAATGGAATATTATTCAGTAATAAAAAAAGAATGAAATCTTGCCATTTGCAACAACGTGGATGGAGCTAGAGAGTATTATGCTAAGCGAAGTAAGTCAGTCAGAGAAAGACAAATACCATATGATTTCACTCATATGTGGAATTCAAGAAACAAAACAGATTAACAAAGTGGGGAAGAAAAGAGAGGCAAACCAAAAAACGGACTCATAACTATAGATAGGTTAAATGGGTGATGGGCATTAAGGAGGGCACTTGTTGTGATGAGCACTGGGTATTATATGTAAGTGATGAATCACTAAATTCTACACCTGAAACTTATAATGCACTATATGTTAATTAACTGGAATTTAAATAAACACTTGGGAAAAAATTTTTTTTAATTTCACGGTGACATCTATCCCAAACACAACATTTATTTAAATAAATTAGTATTATAATTCTGATTACTACAATTACTGGTGACTCATTGCCCTTTGTCATCCAACAAATGGAAACACAAACTAATGGAATTCATCAATGTGCTCTTAAAAACATTATGCCACTAATACATCAGGTTTATAAAGAGTGTTTTACCTCATGAAAGGGCACAATTCTTAAAAATGTCTCAGGACCCACGGAATCAAGAAACACCCACACTGGAATATACATCTAACCCAGTGCTTCCCAGCTCACTGTATACTGGACCAAGAAACCCTCCAGAGCTTTACTGCAGAACTCAAAAACAAAACAGAGAAAAATGGGATTCTCATTTTTAGCATCCCAGGCAAACAGAGAAGGCAGTGGGAAGGGATAGATTAGTCACCAAAAGGTGGTAGATCATCTCCCATCATGGACCAAAATAAAAGGTTGGTCAACTAAAGACCAAAATGGAAAATAATTTAAGTGGATATGGAATTGATTTCTGGGGGCAAAGCACTCTCAGTGGAAAAGGTGGAGGTGTTGGATGCATAGAATTTAAGCTTCGAACTTAATACTGTAGGGTATAAGAGTACTCCCAGTTTGTAATTGTCTACTTATTTGTTTCATCATCTGATTGATGTCTGTCCCCCCAACTGGGCTGTAAATTACATGAGGGCAGGGATGTCACTACTGTATTCCCATATTTGGAAAAGTCTCTGGCATATGTTAGACTCTTACTGACATTTGTTGAGTGAGTAAATGAAGTTGATATTGTGCCGATGTTAGGGGCTTGGGCAGGGGTTTCACACCCGTAAGTATTAAAGGAGACAAGCCTATGTCAGTCCGAAGCCAAGAGCTGGAAGTGAGCCTTCTGCATAAAGCAAGAAAACTCCAGCAATTGCCTCACTTGTGACATAAGATCTCAAACCTTCCGACCATCAATCCAAAGAAACATAAGTCCTGGACTCCAGGTGAACCCCATTTACCCACAGGTGGTAACTCAACTTAAAATGGGAGACAGTCCTGGAGAGCACAGGACTCAAATTTGCTAGTTCTTTGAGGGCCTGAAGTAGAATGGGATGACGAACCCTGGAAAGAGGATAGAGTGAGAACAGAGAGATCCAAGGACACACCAGCTCTGGCACCATTTGGTGAGGGCTGGTCCAGAGCGGAACATTAACACAGCACTCCATAGAGGGTTGTAAACATAAAACAGTCATGTCTTGCAGCATTTTCTCTTGCCTCTACATCTGGCTTGATTAAACTTATGAGACACCTTGTGTTTTTCAGAATGCCGAAGCCAGCTATGACTTCAGTGGCAATGACCCCTATCCTTACCCTCGATACACAGACGACTGGTTCAACAGGTAAACTGGGCCTCGTGGGCTGTCTTTGACTTTAGACCTGGGGGTTTTATTTGACTCTCTTTTTAAAGCATGAGCATCACCAGCAAAATAATCTCAGTGCTTCACTAAATTATATTGTGATTTTTCTCCTTCATAGCTACATTCTCTAAATTCTTGGATTTTATAAATATGGCAATGTTCCTCTAAAACTGTCTTTTGACTATTTTGTTCTCTTGAACTGGGAGTTATTTGCCACTTTATTAAAGATAAAAGAAAGTAGAAATAATAAGAAATCCTTTTCAACTCACCACAAGATGATTTAAAACACACTCATTTCACTTATCTGTTGAAGAGAACTATTGTGCCTCTCTGCTCTGTGTCCAAATGTTTTTGAAAAGTGTTTCTGCTGTTACCTTATAAGAGCTCATGTAGTTTCTTTCAACTAAATAGTAAGTATTATTGGCAAAGGTTTGAAGTATTCTTTAAATTGAGATACAATCATTACATAACATTATATTAATTTCAGGTATACAACATAGTGATTTGATATTTGCATATATTACAAAATGATCACTACATTAAGTCTACTTAGTACCTGACACCATACATAGTAATAAAAAAATATTTTTTCTTGGGATGAGGACTTTTAAGATTTGGTCTCTTAGCCAAATATACAATGCAGTATTATCAACTCATAGGGTTGAAGTATTGCTTGGCATCCTATCCTGTTAAACTACTCAATGGTCCATCCAAAGTTGTGACTTTTCTTCAGCCTCTCCTGCTACTAAACATGTAAATATTTAGTCTCTTTTTTCTCTAAGTAAAATTCTTGCCTAGATGGTTGATTGCTTATAAAAAATATCAAGAAATAAATATGCATGACTTGCTCCCTCAGACTCAACGAGGCTTTAAGCCTAGTGCGTGCTTATTATTGATGTTCTTGGGTCAAGTTCATAAGAACATATGAACTTCAATTAATGGTGTAACAATATGTGGACATCACTTTTACTTCCCATGGCAAACTCATGTAGATAAAATAAATGTTGCCATTCTCTATTCAGAAATAAATAGGCTCAACAAGGTGGCATGAGTTCCTGGTCAAACAACTAGTAGGCGTCAGAGCCAACGCTTGAACCCAAGCTGCAGACATGTTTCTAAATCCAAATTGTACCATTCTTTTATAAACATCATTTTTATTATAAAAGACAGAAAGCATGATGGCCAGAGGGTGGCCAAGGATGGGTCTCCAGTGGACCAGGCAGTTTAGACTCTATTCTTACAATTAGAAAGTTGACCAGAGTATGGCTGGGGTGCAGAAAGTGCACATGGGTTGGGGGCTTGGCAATTACAGAAAATACAGAAAAGAATAAAGGAGAACAAAACAAATTTGCAACATTTTTAAAAGGATCATTGCTGATGTCCAATAGCACAGTTTACTCTTTTATCAACTTCGAAAGCTGCTTTTAAATTATCATGCATTGTTTGGAAGTGTGTTTAGGGGATGAGGATATATCAAAAAGGTCTGAGAACGTCTGACACGAAACATCTCGTACCTTCCATGACTTACAATCCTAGATCCTGACATACCTTAGCAAATAAACCATTTCCAGACACAAGGATGTGAAGTTACCAAATAGATGTCACTAAGCCAGGGGCGAGACAGAATTGGTGATGGTGGTTTGTAACATTGTACTGAGGAGGACCAAGAGGGAGTGCCTGGTTTCAGCATGGCTGATTATCAATCATCCACACGATAGCAGGGCAGTACCAACAGGTGTGTCACATACCTTCTCTCTGCAGCTAGTAGATACTAAATTAATCTTTGACAGATTGATTCAGGCACAAAAATACCGCCAAAACAATGGTTTCCAGCCCTACCCCACCACATCCCACCTTCTGAACCCAAACACAACCTCCCCGAGCAAGTCTTCCTGTGGGATATGCTGTAAGAATATTCTTTAAATACACAAACAAGAAAGAAAGAAAAAAAAACAGAGAAGTCTATTTTAAGTATTTTCATCTGCAAACTTGCTCTTGAAAGTTCAATTTGAAACTGGCTAAAATCCTTTAACAAGGACTCATCAGGGCTTACCGCAATACAATTCTTCATTGTCAGTGGCGAATATCCCTAAGTATCCAATTGCCTGAGACACAGTTTAATGAGTCAGGCACATATGATCCTGGTCTCTTAGGAAGCCACTGATGCAAGATACAGGACCCACTTTGACCTATAAATGGGATTTTCCCAATTATCAAATCATGCTTGAAGATCCTCATCCGCCATGGTTTGTTATTACAAAGACCGGATGGTACCATCCAGTACCATTCAGATCATAGCCTCTCAAAACATAATTACTATTGTCAATGCTTCTGGAAAGAAGGTGGGTCAAAGTTCAAGTCCACAGCACTGGGAGGATCTGTGGTCCAAAATGTTGGGTCTGTCCTGGAGATAATTCCTTCTTGGCACAAGGAGACATTGAATATAGCATCCTTCCCATGAGTGTAGGATACATTTATTAAAAATTCCCTCTGGGTGAAATATTTGCCTGGTATTTTCTTCAGTATAATGTAGGGCCTGGGGCAGGAGGAAGGAAAATGAGTGGGCAAATACAGAAAATAACATTGTCATGGGTAATTGTTAAAGCCTGGGATGGGTACATGAGATTCCACTCTACTTTTGTAGATCTCTGACTTTTTCCATAATAAGTACATTTAAAAGGCATAGGGTGTAATTTAGTTAAGTATTTATGAAACTATTAGTGTTGGTGTGCAAGCTTCTGAGGAGCTTGCAAAATGTCCTATGAACAGAGACAGATGCCCAAATCACCACAGTGCTAAACACAGCCAGGGCTAAAACAACACAAGGAGAGCTAATGCCTATTGAGCCATTGCTATGTTCAAGGCACTGTTTTAAGTGCTTTGCATGTATCCCTTCAATTGATTCTCATAATAACCCTTTGAAATAGCTATTACCAGGATTATCCTCATTTTGAAAATGGAGGCACAGAAAGGCTAAGTAACTTGTGCAAGTTCACACAGCTAATAAGTGGTGGAGACAGGATTTGACACCAGTGAGGGGGCCATTGCATGCACTGCCTCGTAACAAAGATGCGTGGAGAAGTGCAAAATTATCTCTGGCTTGAGAAGCTGAGAGGCTTCCCTGAAGAGGTGGCATTTAGTCTAAGATTTGAATGAAGGTCGCTGGTGGAGTTAAGGGGTATATTTAGGTGAAGGAGGGAAGGCAGGAGGTGCAGACATGTTCAGGAGGTAGCCTGGACACCTGGTCTGGGAGTTAGAGACTAGGACATGGGCAGCATTCTAAGAAGGCTTCATGGAAGAGGTGTGCATGAAAGGTTTACACAGGTTGGTAGGAGAAAAGAGGAGAAATTTTGTGATTGGGTCAAAAACTGGGCCCGAGGCATAGATGAGGACCCTTCTCCCATTATACCCAGGGAATGTTGTTACCCAGAGGCTTTGGGAGTCCTGAGCCCAGCACCTGCCTTTGGCTGGAGCTGTGCTTACTGCCAATCTAGCATGAGCCTCAGGCCAGCTGTGCAGCCACCAAGGCATGCCAGTTTCTTCAGGTGTTATCCTCTGGGCATGGGCGCCAAATCTGACACCTATCTCTGCTCAGCAGACCAGGGGCTCTCGAGAAATGCTAGTTTCAGCACGCTACGAAACTCCGATAAAGGGCTGATGGGTGTTGACCAGCAATGAGCTTGCTGCTATTGCTATTCCTGCTGCGCAGGTGGCCTCAAAGGCAACTTAGAACTCAGAAGCAATTGCTGGGCAGGAAAACGCAGTGGCTCTCCATCATGGGCTTTGCATTGCCATGGAAAATAGAAAATAAAATGCACTAAGGCGCACTCTCCAGCGAGTGAGCAAAGTGATCTCCTGGTCAGGAAACTGAGTTCAATTGCAGAGTGTTTCTCCTGGGCTCTCGTCACACTTTAAACTAGCCTATCATCCCCTCTGTACTTCTGTTAACTGGTTTTCCTCCGAGTGCACATTTTTTCAAGAACATATTCAAAACTCCCAGCCAAGGACTGTTTATGAAAGCAAATTTCATACATATGCAGAACTGCTTTTAGGGGATATGTATATTAGAATTTCTTGCCCTGTGTTTAATTTGATTTTGTAGGATTATTCCTTTTTAAGCAGAGCAAGTGTATTTATTCTACTGTAAACCATTTAATAATTACCTGCAGTATCCGAGCTCCAAGGATATATTTGAAACACAGTTGAGAAATTTGTAAAAGGAGTATAATTTCCTCCTAGCTTGCAATCAGAGAAATACTGACAGCCAAGCAAAATAATAATACAGTAGTAGTAGGGGTAACCCAGTTTGTAAAAAGGTAGAAAATAATCCACATTTAATGAGCATCAATAATATGCAAAACAGATATAACTGATTTCCTGTGTGGTATCGAGATCTAGCATTACATGTTTTTCCTTGCTGGCACTCAATGCATATTGATTGGCTTGTTGATGGATGGGCGGCAGACCTTCTCAGCCACGCCGACGTGTTGAGTGGCCTTGACACCTGTCCGATTTAGAGCAGCCTGCTTCTTCCAAGGTTTGCAGCCCATGCTTTGTCAATAATCTCCCAGCTTGGCTCAGTTTTAGGTCAATGTTTGGTGATGCATCGCAGATCTGTATTCCATTACTGTACTGCTGTCCCTAAAAATCCCTCTTGCATAGCATTTCTTTGACAGGCGTTCACCACTGAAATGTCATCCCTGATATCGGCAGAATTTATGGGGCATCACAACGTGCCACACACTCTCTCTCTCGTAAGACCTAAAGAGTAAGAGATTCTGGATTAGAGGCAATTCCTGGCCACAAAGAGTTTACTATAAATTCAGGAAGGGGGAAGATATTTATTACTCAAGCAACCAAAATGGGGGCGAGGGGAGGAAGAAGGACAAACAGATGCTGAGGGACACGGAGCTCTACGTGAGCTCCTTTGATTGATAGCATTAGTTAAACCTTCAAATAAGAAAGATTTTCAGTGGTTAACT